CCAATGTGTGGTCCCTGTAGGTCCTTTCCTCTTTGGGTTATTGTAACCCCTTGTGCCTCCTCTTGTCACCTTATTTTCATATTGGGTTTCTGCTTCCCAGGTCTTCTTTCACCTTTTGAGTTTCTTGAGGTCTGTCTAGATTTACTCAGTTTACATCTTCAAATCCAGCCCAGTGTCTGACCCGACACCCAAGGGTTCAATAAATGCAGGATGAATGAATTAATCTGAATGAAAACAATATGCCTTGTAAGTGATGAACAATGAGGAATAGGATAAGCAAATTATAGCATCTTCATAGGACTAAACCATGCTTATGACTAATTTTGAATAATGTAGGGGAAATGCTTATGTTCTTATATTAAGTGAAAAAAAGGTGGAATAACAGATTCTATCCTCAGGATGTACACAATGTATATTAAAATATAATTTTAATGTACAGGATGTATCTTAAAATGAATCAAAGGAAATATATAAAATGTGTCCAGTGCCTTCTCTGGGTAGTAGCATGTTTGTCTTAGTTCTTGCCTCCTGTTTTGGAAATTTTCACCCCAGTGTTTCCTACTGAGAGTCAGTCTGTGCTTACCTCTTTTGTTTCCTCTCTCTGTAGTTCAAATTTCTGGTTTCTTATTTCTGTTTTATGAGTCAAGACTATAAACTCCTTGGAAAAGTAGCAGTGTTTTTGTACTATTATTTCTCTGGTACTTGGCACATTCTATTAAACACTAAACATTTAGTCATTCACTAAATAATTCTTCAATGAATAATGGCAATAGCAACCACAAAAATGAAAGTTTTTTTTTTTAAAGGAAACTCTCATTAAATCTCTTTTCCTTATGTCTGGAAATCTGGAAATATGTGAGCAGAGATAATGGCTTGTCAGTATGAATGGAAGCCAGTAATGAATCAAATAACCTTGCATCAGAAAAAAAAAAAAAGAATGAGATAGACCCACAGTGATGAGAAGTGTTATGCAATATGGGAAAACTTCCTAAAAGACCCTGGGTCTCTCCATCCATGCAACATGCTGTGGGTGGAGAAAGAAAATCTGCCTATATTTTGTCAGATTTCTTTCAAATCCCTTCAGAGTACCGGTCAGTCTATTTGTTCCTCTGAAACTTGAGGTCATGGTAAGATAATACATGAGTGTTTACAATGAAAAATTACTATCAAAACACATGGAATGTTTAGTTCCCACAGCTAACACTTTTTTCTCTGACTTTATCCTGTTTATGGTGAAGTTTAATAGCAGACACCCCCAGCCACACCTGGAGATGGGATGTTTCCATAAAGGCCAGGTCAAGGTCTCCTTCCAAAGAGTGACTAATACAGGGAAACCCGCAGAGCCCCACTGTGAGCTCGGCACCCTGGGTCCATCTGAACTTCACATTCAAAACAGAAAGAAGCTTAGTGGGCCCGAAGCAGAGGTGGAATCTTAGAAAAACACAGCTGCCAGGGTTAGCATGCGCATGCAAATGCTCCTCCATGTAACGCCTGTGCCCCTTTCTCATTTACTTGGCTCTGAAAGCTGAACTTGTGGCCTTTAATTCCAACAGACCTGAATGGATGCTTCTTAATTATGCCTTGGATGTAGTAAATTAACACCCTCTTAGGAAGTCATTCAGGTATTAAATATTTAGGAACAAAAGAATTGCAACATGTAAGCCCTCAGGTAAGAAAAGATGTTGCTAATCTGTTCCAGTATGGAGCAGTGCTAGCTGACAGGACAGGCTGCTGGTCATAAATCCATTTCATCAAATCCTACCTTGTAAATAACAAAAACATCCAGTATAACCTCATTTCTTCACTTTTCCTACTTCTTATTATTACTTTTTTTTTTTTGACCATGCTGCTTGGCATACAAGATCTTAGTTCCCTGAACAGGGGTTGAACTTGCCCCCTCTGCAGTGGAATCTATGGAATTCCAACCGCTGGATCACCAGAGAGGTCCCACTACTTATTTTTATTTTATTTATTCATTTATATTTTTTGCTGGGCTGGGTCCTCATTGCTGCACAGGCTTTTCTCTAATTTTGGTGAGCAGAGGGCTACTCTATAATTGAGGTTCGTAGGCATATCATTGCCGTGGCTACTCTGTGGGCTCTAGGACACATGGTCTTCAGTACTTGCAGCTCTTGGGCTCAGTAGTACTGAGCCCATGTGCTGCAACTACTGAACTGCAACTATTGAGCACAGACTCAATAGTTGTGTCACAAAGGCTTAATTGCTCTGAGGCATGGGGGATCTTCCCCAGCTAGGGATCAAACCCTTATCTTCTGAATTGCCAAGTGGATTCTTTACCTCTGAGCCACCAGGGAAGCTCCCTTCCACTAATTATTATTAATTTTCCTCTCTGTGGTCCCCTTTAAGTTGAAATTACATCTTAGTTTGTAGAGAGAGAATATTCATTAATACAGCAAAAATTTCCAGGATTGAGTACCTTCTCTGTGCCAGGCATCACTCTAGGCATTTGGGACAAACCAATAAACAAGATAAAGATCTCCATATTTGGCACATATAAGGAGCATATATTCCAATGGGGAAAACTGACAATAAACAATAAGCATACTAGCAAACACCCTCTTCCAACAACACAAGAGAAGACTCTACACATGGACATCACTAGATGGTCATTACAGAAATCAGATTGATTATATTCTTTGCAGCTGAAAATGGAGAAGCTCTGTACAGTCAGCAAAAACAAGATTGGGAGCTGATTGTGGCTAGATCATGAACTCCTTATTGCCAAATTCAGACTTGAATTGAAGAAAGTAGGGAAAACCATTAGACCATTCAGGTATGACCTAAATCAAATCCCTTGTGATGATACAGTGAAAGTGACAAATAGATTCAAGGGATTAGATCTGATAGAGTGCCTGAAGAACTATGGATGGAGGTTCGTGACATTGTATAGGAGGCAGTGATCAAGACCATCCCCAAGAAAAAGAAATGCAAAAAGGCAAAATGGTGGTCTGAGGAGGCCAAACAAATAGCCGTGAAAAGAAGAGAATCTAAAGGCAAAGGAGAAAGGAAAGATATACCCATTTGAATGCAGAGTTCCAAGGAATAGCAAGGAGAGGTAAAGCCTTCCTCAGTGATCAATGCAAAGAAAAAGAAGACAGCAATAGAATGGAAAAGACTAGAGATCTCTTCAAGAAAATTAGAGATACCCAGGGAATAATTCATGCAAAGATGGGCACAGTGAAGGACAGAAATGGTATGGACCTAACAGAAGCAGAAGATACTAAGAAGAGATGGCAAGTATACACAGAAGAATTATACAAAAAAGAACTTCACAACCCAGATAATTACAATGGTGTGATCACTCACCTAGAGCCAGACATCTGGAATGTGAAGTCGAGTGGGCCTTAGGAAGCATCACTACAAACAAAGCAGGTGGAGGTGATAGAATTCCAGTTGAGCTATTTCAAATCTCAAAAGATGATGCTGTGAAAGTGCTGCACTTAATATGCCAGCAAATTTGCAAAACTCAGCAGTGGCCACAGGACTGGAAAAGGTCAGTTTTCATTCTAATCCCAAAGAAAGGCAATGCCAAAGAATGGTCAAACTACTGCACAATTGCACTCATCTCACACGCTAGCAAAGTAAGGCTCAAAATTCTCCAAGCCAGGCTTCAACAGTACATGAACCATGAACTTCCAGATGTTCAATCTGGATTTAGAAAAGGCAGAGGAACCAGAGATCAAATTGTCAATATCCATTGGATCATTAAAAAAGCAAGAGAGTTCCAGAAAAACATCTATTTCTGCTTTATTGACTATGCCAAAGCCTTTAACTGTGTGTATCACAACAAACGGGAAAATTCTTCAAGAGATGGGAATACCAGACCACTTGTCCTGCCTCCTGAAAAATCTGTATGCAGGTCAGGAAGCAACAGTTTAACTGTTGCTGAACATGGAACGACAGACTGGTTCCAAATTGGGAAAAGAGTACATCAGGGCTGTGTATTGTCATCCTGATTATTTAACTTATATGCAGAGTATATCATGTGAAATGCTAGGCTGGATGAAGCACAAGCTGGAATCAAGATTGCCGGGAGAAATATCAATAACCTCAGATATGCAGATGACACCACCCTTATGGCAGAAAGCAAAGAAGAACTAAAGAGCCTCTTGATGAAAGTGAAAGAGGAGAGTGAAGAAGTTGGCTTAAAAGTCAACATTCAGAAAACTAAGATTATGGCATCTGGTTCCATCACTTCATGGCAAATAAATAGGGAAACAATGGAAACAGTGACAGACTTTATTTTTGGGGGGCTCCAAAATCACTGCAGATGGTCACTGCAGCCATGAAGTTAAAAGATGCTTTCTCCTTGGAAGAAAAGTTATGACCAACCTAGACAGCATATTAAAAAGCAGAGACATTACTTTGCCAACAAAGGTCCATCATAGTCAAAGCTATGGTTTTTCCAGTAGTCATGTATGGATGTGAAAGTTGGACTGTAAAGAAAGCTGAGAGCAAAAAAATTGATGTTTTTGAACTGTATTGTTGGAGAAGACTCTTGAGAGTCCCTTGGACTACAAGGAGATCCAACCAGTCAATCCTAAAGGGAATCAGTCCTGAATATACATTGGAAGGACTGATGCTGAAGCTGAAACTCCAATACTTTGTCTACTTGATGCAAAGAACTGACTCATTTGAAAAGACCCTGATGCTGGGAAAGATTGAAGGCGGGAGGAGAAAGGGATGACAGAGGATGGGATGGTTGGATGGCATCACTGACTCAATGGACAAGAGTTTAAGTTCCGGGAATTGGTGATGGACAGGGAAGCCTGGCGTGGTGCAGTCCACGGGGTCTCAAAGAGTCGGACATGATTGAGCAACTGAACTGTATTGTTACTAGACAGGAAAATTTTCTAGAATGTTCAAAGGTCATAGCTGATATGGAAAATAATAGTGAGACTAAATACTTTTGGGGCTAGTGGTGCAGGGAGCTGCGGTGTTAAACAGGTGGTCAGCCTCATGGAGAGACCAGAGCAGGCATGAAAGAGTGGGTGGGGTTGGGGGGGCAAGCAGTTGGCCAGGCAAATGTTCGGAGGAAGAGCACGGCAAGAAGGACCAGAAGAGCACATGCCCTAAGGTTGTGTGTGCTGCTCACGTCAGAAGAACAAGGAGATCACGTGGCAGGTGAGGAATGAGCTTGGGAGGAGAGTAGGCGGGGACAGCAGAGGAAGAAAGGAATGGGGAAGCAGGTCGCCTTGGCTTTGCAGCCCATGTAAGGGTGTTTTCAGCGTTTCAAGTCCACACAGCAGTTGACTGAACAGACCACGTGGTTCTTTGAACAGAGAGTGGAATCCTGGGAATGAGACCTGGACTTTGCTTCTCCCTCTACCACTGAGCTAATTTCCTGAGCCTGGACAAGGTCTATTTCAGAGCTGCTGTCTCCAGGGTTGAATTAAATCAGTCCTAATGTTCCTTCCTTTCAGTTCTGAGGTCCTGTGACCTACATGTGATAGGAGCAGCAATTGCAATTGAATTGCAACTCAAAAATCTTTCACATTGGCAGGCATCGGACCTAAAATCTTCAGACAAGCCTATAGGCCTCAGCCCTGAAGGTATGGGACCCCCCTGAACATCTGAATGAGAACTATAGAGAAAGGTAGAGCTGCATTTGCTCACAACTGTAAGGAGTTTGTGGGGCCCTTGAGGCATAACCATGGACCTTCCCCAACTGAAAGTGACCTGTGGGTTACTCTTTAAGAATCAGTGCATTCAAGGAGTGTTGTTAATTTCCCCTGAACTTTCTATGAAATACGAAAATATTCCATACATTTTGAGAAACTGAAAGAATAGTACACCAAACTTCACATCTTCCATTTAAACTTCAAAAAATGTTCATATTTTACTATAGCTATGTATCTATCTTTGTTGTTTTATCGTTGTCGACCAATTAGAAAGTTGCAGATATCAAGGCACTTTATTCCAAGATAGTTGCCCCAAGTATCGCTTAAGAATTAGAACAATCTCCTATTATACCACACCACTATTATCACATATAAGAAAACTAAGACTGATGAAATGTAAATTAAAAATTCCCTTTATTCTAAGAATCCTTTTAGATACTTCAGGATTCCACATGTTGCATTTAATTTTATGATGGCTGGTCTATTTTATTCCAAAATAGTTTATCCACAATTTTGTTTTCTGATTGTTTATTTTCAAAATATTGACATTTTGGAATAGTTCAGACCAGTTGTCTTATGGAATGCTCCTACTTTAGGATCTGATTGATTGTTTCCTACTAGTGTCTAACCCATTCCTCTATCCCTTGCTTTCCCTGTAAACAGGAAGTTAGAGCTAATGGAAATTTGTGAGTTTTAGTTAGATAGGATACAGTGTACTCTGGGAAGAGGTGGTCCATTTTCTAGGTATTGACTGGATTACTTAGAAGATCACTTTAGAAGATTATATTTAGCCTTGTAGGACTCCACCCCCATCCTTGACCCACCTGGGAAAGGATGCTATATGTAGACAGAAAGGAAGGTTTTCCTGGCAGTAAGAGGAGCACTGAATTTGGAGTTTAACCCTGAAATTGATCATATCCCTTTTCAGTTTCCTCATCTAAAATTTAGTTTTCTTTTTAATGGATTGTTGGATTCAAATGAAAGATTAGAAAATTCTTTTTTTAAAGATCTGTGTGGAAGTAGCTCTGCTTCAGGGACTGACATCCAGTTCAGAGAGATCCTTGATTCATCTCAAGTAAGTGAGCAAAGTGTGAAACTATCTATCTATTGTCTATCTACCTACCTACCTATCCATCTAGAGTAATGAATTTTTGTCATCTCAAGACTGACTGGAAAGAGTAATGTGGGTCAGTTTTTCAATGATGATTTAAGATAGTGATAATCATGGGCAATTTTGCCCTCAAGGTGACATTTGGCAATGTCTGAATACATTTTTGGTTGTCTAACTGAAGACCTGTTACTGGCATCTAGTGGGTGGAGACCAAGATGCTGCTGAATATACTACTATGCACAGGACAGCCTTCCCTCACCAAAGAATTATCTTGCTCAAAATAGCAATAGTATCAATATAGAGAAATCCTGATATAATGTAAGGTACAATTAAATATTGAACCTTAGCCCAAAGTCCTGCACCAATCCTTCAAATATTGGGATTTGAAGTTAACTTAAATTCCATGCCATAACACAGAAAATTACAAATAGAAAAGAAAAACAAAGAAAAAAATGGAGATAAAAATATGTTAATTATTTCAATCAACATAATTGCTACAGTTCAACTGAGCTTTCTCCAAGGCTAAAAAGAAATCACAATCAGTTGTATAATTTTGGTAATTAAAAAGAATAATTCCTAAAGGACATTGCTTTTCAAAAATAAATTGTAAAATATTATTTTCATAAAGTATTTTATAATATGGTAGCAATAAATGACCTGATAATGGGATGGGCAGTGTTTTCAGTATTCATGCAAAAAATGCAAAAGTTAGTTCCATATGGCTATTTATAACAGGAACTTAGATAGAAGCTATGCAGAAAATATTCAGATGAAATGCCTTCAGGGTGATTCTGAGAGGCACTGGATTAATATCATTCCATTTGGAGACTTCTGTTGGTCTAATTTGATTAATGAATTAGATTATGATACCTGGAGGGATATAAGGTCTAAGTAAAGGCAAAACTGAACCATGGCCTGGAGCCCTTATTATGTTTTTAAAAACTTTTTGTAAATATAGTATTTTTAAAAATATCTTTATTGAGATATTTTCACGTACCATAAAAATCACCATTTTAAAGCATGCAAGTCAGTGGCTTATGGCAAATTCATAGAACTCTACAACTGTCATCATCATCTAATTTCAGAATAACTTCATTACTCCAAAAGGAAACCCTGTACTTATTAGCAGTTATTTCATCCCCCTGAACCTCCTTCTCTCACCCATGACAAACATTAGTCTACCTTCCTGTCTCTGTGGATTTGCTTAATCAATCTTTTTATTGCCAAACAATATTCCATTATATGGATATGCTCATTCATCAATTGATGGGCATTTGGATTGTTTCCACTTTATGATTGTTATGAATGATGCTATGAACTATGGCAAATTTTTATTGTGAAAGGGTATTGAACTTTGTCAAAAATTTCTGCATCTATTGGGAAGATCATGTGGTTTTTGTTCTTTATTATCTAACATGGTGTATTGCTGTTGTTATTCAGTCACTAAGTCGTGGCCAACTCTGCGACCCCATGAACTGCCCTAACCTAGAATACCAGCCTCGTCTATCCTCCACTATCTCCAGAGTTTGCTTAAATTCATGTCCACATTGAGTCTATGATGCTATTTAACCTTCTGAGCCTCTGCTGCCCCTTTCTCCTTTTGCCTTCAACATGGTGTATTATATTTATTGATTTTCATATGTAAGATCAACCTTTATATTCCCGGGATAAATGTTACTTGGTGATGGTATAAAATCCTTTTTACATGTTTTTGGACTTGTTTTCTAGTAGTTTAAAGACACTTGTGTCTATATTTATAAGGAATGTTGGTCTGTAGTTTCTTGCAATGTCTCTGTCTGGTTTTGCTTATTAGGTTAATGCTGGCCTCATAGACTGAGTTAGGAAATGTTCCCTTCTATTTTATTTTTTGGAACAGTATGTGAAGAATTGATATTCTTCTTTATTTAAATGTTTATATACCTTGTTGGTGAGGTCATCTGGTCCTAGGCTTTTCTTTGTGGGAACTTTAAAAAATTACTAATTCAATCTCTTTATTTGTTACAGGTCTACTCAGATTTTCATTTCTGCTTGAGTCAGATTTGACAGTTTGCATCTTTCTAGAAATGAACCCATTTTGTCTAGGTACCTAATTTGTTGAATACTATAATTATTCATAGCATTCCTTTATATATCTTTTAATTTTTATAATATAAGTGATGATATTCTCTTTTTTATTCTTGATTTTGGTAATTTGAGTCTTCCCTCTTTTATTCTTGATTATCGAGATAAAGATTTGTCAATGTTGTCAAAATTTTCCAAGAATTAAGTTTTGGGATATCAGTTTTCTGTGATGATTTCTTATTCTCTATTCAATTTATTGTCATTTTAATCTTTATTATTTTTTTGTAACTATACTATTAAAAGTTTACATAATATTCCATCATGTGGATGTGCTATAAATTACATTCCAATTTTACTGACTATCTTTAGGTTTTCTCTTCCGCCAATTTTCTCCATTATGAATGATGTCTGAGTGACATCTTTATGTAAGCATTTTCTGTGTTTCAAATTCTTATATGAGTTAATAGAGGAGAAATGTCTTTGGAAGAGCAGGCTAGTCCTTTAATTTACCCAGCTAGTTTGTTATTAGGTTTCTATTACTGAAACATCTTGGGCAGATGTTGTGAACATTTCTAAAGAAACTTGATACATATAGGATTATTCTTTCTTACAAAAAATTAGATAAAGAAATAAACACATAAATGGAAGAAGTCACTTTCAAAGTTCCAAAATAGGTATTTGAGGGATATGATGGTCTTTTTTTTAATGTGTCAATTTAACTAGAGTCCCCAGACACTCAGTCAAGCATCGATCAAGATGTTGCTACGAAGGTATTTTGTAGATATGATTAAAGTCTTTTGTTGACTTTCAGTAGGGAGGTTATGGAAGATGATCAATTGGTTGAATCAGTTGGAAGGTCTTAAGAGCAGGGCTGACTCTTGTCTGGAGAAGAAGAAATCCACCTGAGTGTTCCAGTCTACCTTTACTGATGGTCTGCCCTATGGATTTCAGCCTTGTCTAGTCAATCCCCATGATCGTGTAGGCCAATTCTTTGCACTAAATCTCTTAACAGATATCTTCTACTGATTCTACTTTTCTGATTGATCACTGACTTTTACAAGGAGGGCCGGATTTAATAAAATTTTTAAAAAGTTAAAAATTCTTAAACTCCTTCTACTACATTTATTAAGGCTGTAGGCTAATCTATTCAAACTCTATTGAGAGTCTACGACCTAATGTTTACTCTTCTAGTTGCTTGGGTTATAGGAATGAACAAAATAGAGAAAGTTTCTGTCTTTGTGGAGGTTACATAGCAACAATAACAATATTGACCACCTGCTACTATAGTCACATGTTGGGGATAAAAAGGTGAATATGACTGTACCTTCTCTTTTGGAGCTTGCAATAAGTCTGTGAATATTTGAATTGGTATGAAGGAGAGTGAGACTGAGCATGAATTTTAATTGTAAGAACACATAATTTCTAATGGAGAGATAAAATCAAGTGTTTCAGACACCCGAAGGAATATTCCCTTGAAGGAATATTTGAGATCTTTAAGATCCTGAGACTTCAACTTCATTTATATTTTAAAAATGAAATTAAGTTCATAAATGTATTTAAAGGTATCCTAAAGAAATCATATAAGGTTAAAAAATTATAAACAGAATTGTTAGTAAAACTCCAAGTGGTTAAACTTTGGTGTTCTTTGTGGGCAATGTAAACAATTTATATTTAAAGAGTCCAGTGTCAAAAAGCAATAAGGAAATAGTGAGATGTTTCTGTGTTCTCCACCTTAATGCCTTGTTTTATTTCATTTTGT